GACAAAGAAATGAGTGGGAAAAAATTCCACAGAGACTTGGTTAGTCTTACACAATTTTGCAACAGAAATAAGCTTATTCTTGAATTGAGGAACACACAAAACGTTTTTTAGGGTAAGAAAGCCATTGGATGTAGGAAGATGTGTTTGACCAATATGGGTTATAGAGAGGGTGTTACCATTGCCAAGAACAATTTCATCCGGTCCGCCATACTCAGACGGAGTGAAAATGTGCACGATCCGGATCAACATGATCGGAAGCTCCCATATCAAACATATAGGAGGATGTTGTGACATTAGCAATTGGTGAAGCCTTGCTTTGGGTCATAGAATTGCCTGTCGTAACATGATTTTCACGGAGAAACCGGGCAAGTTTCCGACACTCCTTTGCTTCATGCCCTGCAAAGTTACAATATTGACAATAGATAATGGTACGGTTGTCACGATTACCGTTATTGAAGTTGGAGCCATTAGACCATTGATTGCGTAATGGTCTGCTGTTGAAATTGTTTTGCACGTTGCGTCGATCGGGTGTTGATCTTGCATTAGTCCTTGAGTGTTTTTGGGTGAAGTTGGCTGTAGCCATGAGGGGTGGCGTAACAGTTGTTTGTTGAAGTTCCCGTTCAAAATCAACAAGCTTCTCAAATAGTTCTGGAAAGGAGAGTTTTGAATCAAGTAGTCGAAGTGATTGGGCAACATTTTTGAAGTCATCGCCTAATTGACAGAGAATGTGGACCATGAGATCCTCGTCTTTCACCGGGTTTTGAACAAGTGCTAGTTCGTAGGCGATTGATTTCATATCACGTAAGTATTCCGTGACGGTGAGAGTGCCTTTGGGGTTGGATGCAAGTTTGGATTTTAGCGATATGACACGAGACCAGGATGAGTTCGCATAGCTAGTTACCAATCGTTCCCACGCTTCCTGAGAAGTGTCGGCCGATGCAATCATCGGTTGGATGGTGGGTGAGCAGCTTCCTAGAAGACCCGCCAGAATGATTTGATCCTATCGGAACCACGGATAGTGATCTGGGTTTGGTTTAGTGGCTTCGGCATCTAGGAACTCCGCCGAAGCCTGCTTGGTTCCGGTGATGAAATGAACGAGATCGAGGCCAATAAGGGTTGAGTAGACGTGCTTACGCCATACCGGAAACTTATCGTTAGTAAGGGTGACGTTAAAGTGGGTGGAGGCAGTGAGTTGAATAACTATGATTGGTGCCATGGAAGGAGGTGCAGTAGGATCAATTCTCGTTTGAGATGGAAGCTCTAATACCATATAAGAGCTTGATTTGAATAGACAAGTTCTTGCATTATTAGACAAAATACAAAGACTATAAATAGACATTTACAATATACATACAATGGTAAGGAGAGATCTACGGCCAATTCTATGATAAATAATATCAATCACAATAACTATCTAAATATAGCTTAAAGGAGAAAAAGGAAATACAATTAATACATGATCAATGTTTAGTTTCCTTAATAGTCATTGGGTCAAAGACTGTCCAAGTTAGAAGAACAAGGATAAGTCAAAGGGAGAATCTTCAACAGTTGCAACCGAACAGGAAACAGGCATCTCAGCTACGGTTACACCACTGCTTGGAGATAGGCGATGGGTGTTGGATACTGGAGCCTCTTGTCACATGATACCTTTTCGTGACTATTTATCTACCTTCGAAAAATTGAGGGTAATAGCATTTTCATGGGAAATAGTACTTTGTGCATTACTCAAGGTGTTGGCACAGATCGTATCAAGATGTTTGATTTGTTCGGACATTGAATAATGTCAAATATGTTATGGACATGACTCGTTCCTTTATCTCGGTTGGACAATTGTCCAAGGTTGGTTGCAAGATTCGTATTGAAGATGGGAGCATGCATGTATCTCAAGGAAACTTTGTAGTAATGAAAGGTATACAGGCGGAAAACAATTTGTTTCATTTGGTTGAAGAAACAGTTTCTTCATAATCATGTGTGACGGATAATTCAAAGAATATGGATGCTACTTGTTTATGGCATATACGGTTGGGCCACACATTCGAGAAGAATTTGGAGGTCTAGCGAAAGCGAAAGCTCATTAGTGTTGACACGCCTACTTGTCTTGATTTTTGTGCCAAATGTGTCAAGGGGAAATAAACTCGCGTTTCTTTATTGTTGGAAAGCACAAAACTAAAGAGATCTTGGATTATGTGCATACAAATTTTTGGTGACCATCAAGCACATAGTCCCTAAATGGAGGTAGATATTTTCTCTCTCTTATTGATGATTTCTCACGAAAATTTTGGGGGTTTGTTTTGAAGCACAAGTTGGATGTCTTTGACAATTTCAAGACTTTGTTAGCACACGTGGAGGTTGAGATCGGAATGAAATTAAAGGTGCTTAGATACGATAATGGTGGAGAGTTTACTTGTGGTAACTTCAAGGCATTTTGCTCGAGTAAAGGCATCCACTGTCTTTATACTCACCCAGTGATCCTGAATCTAACGGGGTCAAGGAGAGGATAAATAGAACATATTTAGAGAAAGTTCAATGTATGTTCATGACATTGGGATTTTTGAATCCTTTTGGGCCGAAACTTTCCACACCGCGATGTGAATCGTCACTATGTTACCTTGTTCGGCCATTGGAGGAAAAATACCGAAAGAGATGTGTAGAGGTAAAACTAATATCTGTATAAAATACATATATGCATTTGGTTGTCTTGTTTATGTACAGGTTTCAAGTCAGAACAAGTTAAATCCAAGAGCCACCAAAGGATATTTGTCTGACTATACAGATGGCATCAAGGGGCACCAAATCTGGAACCCTTTGACATGTAAAGTCATTTATTCTTGACATGTAACATTTGATGAATCTTATATGATAAAGTCCTCTCGGGATGCCTAATCTCCCCAAGAAACGAAAGTTAGTTAAACTGTTGCTCCTAGTGCCGATGATGTGGATACAATAGACATTCCTATTATTATGAGCTCATTTGCTCGAGCCAATATACTTGGATCACCTAAAAATGTTGTAGAAGCAAAGGTCGTCTATTTGAAGAAAATTGTGACAGATGACAATGCTGCTAATATGTTCACAAAATCACTACCATTCCCTAAGTTTGAGCATTGTTCAAACTTGATTCAACTTTGCTTGTGTTAGTGTCATTGGGAACTTCGTTGGAGAGAGCAAATATTACCACAAATGAAAAAAACATCTTTGAAGGGATTACTTCGTTAAGTGCTTAGAGTGCTATGCTCTATTCTTTTTTGTAGATTATGCACTCGAGGTTATTTTGTTTTGCTTGTAACTGTGAGCCATGTCGAATCTCGTCAAGGCTGGAATGCAATTTTGCTACCTCGTGCCAATTTACTTTGCTATATAATTGTTATGATCAACTTGGAAAGGCCCGTATTCATCGAACTCGGACTTTGTTGCTATTTTTGAAGAGTTTTCTGCATCATGGGGGAGTGTTATGATTTTTTTTATCACATTTGATGTTGCACAACAAACAAGACCAGGGACTACCGAGAGTTTCACCGCTAGTATAAGTTGCTTCAAAACTAGCGAGGGTCTCTGATTTTGAGTTGAAGTCCAGAGACTACCGCGAGTTTCACTGCTAGTTTCACCGCTAGTTTACTAGCAGTAAAACTAGGCTGAGATTTTTTTTGGCCAGGCAACAATCAGGAGGCTAGGCCATACCCTTTTTTTCACTTCATCACCCTTTGGCCATACTTTTTCCCTTCCTTTTGTCCTTCTTCTAATTTATATATAGAAAGGACACTTTGCTCTTTCTATCACTTGTCCAATTTGCTTCCTCCAACACTCAAGACCTCTCCTTTTAGTTTCTCTCAAGAGCTTATTTACCATTTTTGGTATGTGTGTAGAGGTTGGTGTTCTTGGTGTTCTTGATAGTTGAAGATTTTGGTTGATCTTGGATCTAAGGATCATTGTACAAGCACTTGTGATCTCTTTTGTGGTAATATAATACTTGCTCTTTCTATTTGGTGGATGTACACTATCACATCAATAGTGTAACCACGTTAAATCCTTGTGTTCTTGCTTGTGATGTTGTTATATGCTTTGATCCTAGTATATTTTGGTTGTCATTTACATAGTGGGTGTTTAATCTTCTTCGAAGCATGTTATGCAAGATTTAGATTATTGTTATCCACAGTGTTGCTTGGGTTTATTGTGCATTTGGAATTCTACAAGTATTTGGGACCTCAGAAATTACTTCGTTATTAAGTTTGATCGCACTTTATCCCTTACAATTCGAATTTAGCTCGAAAAAATAACAGTGCTGGAGCTCAAATAACTTTTTCAAAGTAGGGGTCTAGCTCGAACTCAATTTTTTTTGAATTTTCAAACTCGAGCTCGATGCTCATCTAAGGGCTCGAATTTGCAATTGATTAACTCGCTTATTGGTTTAAACTCGATAATATTTATATTTTTATTTTATGATTTATGAATATATGATATGAGCATTATTGGCTCGAAAAAGTGTATAATGATTGGCTCGGCTCGGAAAATTTAATCAAGTATCAAACATGCCAAGTCGAACATTGTTGTTATGAAACTTGGCTCGTTACTATAAACGAGCTTTATTTTGTATGGGAGATTGACTCGAGCTCGAAAATTATCAAGCTCAAGAAGCTTGTTAAAGGTATTACAAAATTAGTCACCAATTCTATACTACTTTTATAAGTAGTTTAGTAGTAATTAAAATACCTATTTAACTATTTTACCATAAATGATGTTATGATTTCAAGATTGAATGATATGATATTAATTAGATGAATGTAAAATTGTTTGATATGTGTTCCAAATTTGAATCTAATTCAAAGCATATTAATTTGTTAAATGAATTCATTTAAGAGATAACATTAGATTCAAAGAATTATGCATCTTTAACCAAATTAAATATATTAAAAATAAAACAAGAAACATATTGAATCACATAAGGATAAGTAGACTATATTGAAGTTCATGTGCGAAAATATGGATGATAAGAAAGTCGTTACCTGCCCTTTGCAGTTTCTCCTTTTAAATCAGCAACTTGTGTAAGTGCTTTATTCCATAGATCTATTTTTTGAGCCCACTGACTTCTTTTATCTGCATTTGTCTCTGTCTCCATCCTCTTTTTATGCTTTGCCATTGCTTCTTCAAAGCTATTTTGTTGCTTCCTGACATCAGTGGGCTCGACGTGATAAAAGATGGGGATAAGAATATAGCCTGGCTTCCTAAGTTGTTCAAGAATCAATACTAATTCGTCAAGACACCAGGTCGACGAAGCATAATTTTGAGACAACACAATAATAGAAGCTCGGGATGCTTTGATTGCACTCTCCAATTCCGGTTTCAAAGATAGCCCAGTTTCAATCTCTTCATCGTCCAAAAAGGTATTGATGTTAGTATTCAGAAGCGTTTTATAGAGGTGATCAGTGAAATTATTACGAGTGTCTAAACCTCTAAAACTTAAAAAAAACATCATATCTAGGAACAAGAGTTGATGAAGAAGATGAAGGTGAAGATATTTCAGAGATAACAACCATAATTTGTATGGGAAGGTAGGAATGATTGGAGAGGAGTAGGATTTATGATTATATGATGAAAAATGGTTAAAGAAGTGTATATATAATGGAAGCCCAAGTCAAAGTCAACAAGGAAATTGTCTGGAAATTTACAAAAACATATTTATTCCATAAAATTTAGAGTAGACTAAAAATTTAGTCTTTGGTTTGTGAAAACTTTATCTTTTTTTTTTCTACAGTTTTAAAATTACATGATGACCATTGATCCATTGTGCTATGTAAAAACCATCGTATTTGATGCCTCTAACTGCCATTAACACTTGGCTGTTAACGGAAAGGCATTTTAGTCTCTCTCTTTTTCACTTTTGGTTTTTGTCTCATTTTCTATTAAAAAATTATAAACTATTCTATTAGATTCATGCCACCTGTCTTAACCATTTTTTCTGAAACCCATAAAACCTCAGTTCGTAGTCTCTGACGAACCTCTAGTCATTTTTATTGGTGAACCTCCGGTCACTCTCAAAACCCAATTCCAAACTTTAAACCAAAACCAAAATCTAAACCCCAGAATCAAAATCCAAACTAAAACAGAAACCAAAATCACAATCTATACCAAAACGAAAACGAATACCAACTCAAATCAACAACAGAAGGGTTGGATTTATAATTATATGATGAATAATGATTCCAACAAGTTGTGTATTTCTTGTAGCCCAAGTCAAAGTCGACAAGGAAGTTGTTGGAAATTTACAAAAAAATATTTATCATTTTTTGTAGGTGTGAATTACATCGTTGGTTCTTGTTAGGTTGTTTTTCTACGTGGTTAATAAAATTTAGAGTAAACTACAAATTTAGTCCATGTGGTTTGTCAAAATTTATCTTTTCGCTCATACAGTTTCAAAATTAGAAGATGACCATTGTGGTTTGCAAAAACGATCAGATTCAGTCTCTGCCTCTAACTACCGTTAACACTTAGCAGTTAACAGAAAAGCGTTTTAGTCTCTTTTTCTATGTCTCATTTCTATTAAAAGTAAAAAATATTTTATAAACTAATCCACTAGATTCATGCCACCTGTCTAATTAGACATTTCTTTGGATACCCATGAACCTCTTTCCGTAGGTGAACCTCTGGCCATCTTCTCCGGCGAACCTCCATTCATCTCACAAAACCCAAATCCAAACTTTCACTACGAAACAAGTGACAAAAATACTTAAAAGAATCAGCTGAAGAGACAAAAATGCCCCTCACTTTAGAAGCATATGAGGGGTTAAGAGTGCATTAAACAGAGTTAGGTTCAAGAATCCAATATTTAACAAAATTGAAACCATAATGATGATGTCTGTAATTAATTCATTTAGGGACCAATTCATAACTTTGATATAACATACTAAATATGTAATTTACTCTTAATAAAATATAATTTTTTTAAAGAATAAGTTGTTCCATCAATTATTGTGACATAAAAGTCATGTACGGTGTGCCCGTGTAGGTCTACCAAATGGATATATATATAATACCAACATGGAACAAATATTTCGTTTTGGTCAATTAAAAAGTTATTGTTTATTGCCGTCCTAGGGAATTGTTTTATTATAGTTGATAATGTCACATTTATTGATTCTTATGCAGACAAGAAACATCATGATATTTTTGCATATGTGTTGCTAATTGGTGAACTCAATACGAAAAATATATATCGGTATTGGTATCAAATTAAATATTATAAATTTTTGTTTTCAGATATAATTTGTTCGATTCAAAATTATATTATATAATAAACCATTTTAGATTAAAAATAACAACATAAGTAATTTTAGTTTTAGGGGCTGTTTGTTTGCCTCTTAATGGCTACATTAAGAGGGTGCCTCTTAATCGGTAAGAGGTATAGGCTGTTTGGCAAAAAAAAATAGCCTCTTAATGGTGACAATTACCTCTTAACGATTGAGCATCTAAGGGGTTGCCTAATGGTTCAGAGTCTCATTTTTCCAGGATTACCCTTCCATCATCTTGTCATCGTTCCTCCTCCAGAACATGGAGTATTAACCCAAAAGACATGCCCAATCCATTTCCACCAAAAAATGGCATCTTCCTCCTCAATCCATTTCCCATGACCCAAAAGACATGCCCTCAATCCACCAGAACATGTAACAGTAGGAATGAATGTTAAGCTTCAAACCTGATGAACGGCGTCGGCACCTGCTGAAGGAAAGCAACGCCTGCCGGAAGAGAATGTCGATCGAAGCTGGCGACGGAGAGGGAAGGCAGAAGCGGAAGGCCTGAGTGGCGGCTAAGGCTGGCGACGGAGAGGGAAGGCAGAACCAGGTAACCCCTTCAACTCCGACGACTAGTAACCCCTTCAACTCCGACGACGACTGGCGACGGAGAGGGAAGGCAGAACCAGGCCTTAGTGATGGAGTTCTTTTTAATAAAGATAATGATGGAGTATTTTGTCATATCAATAGGCCTCAATGATTATCCTCTATTAGAATGAGTTTATCAATTGATGTCTAGTTAATCTTATGGAGTTAAAAAAAACTTTAAGAAACTGTATTTGTGAAGCGATTACTTTGTAAACTTGAAATTTAAAAGATTATGAATTACTAAGGAGTACGCAATAGGTAATAAGTGGTTCTTACAACCTTGATCGAAAGTTTTATAATATAATAAGACATAGATAAATTTCAAATAAAAAATCTAACCAACGTTATGTTGCATTTCTTGTGGTTACTAAGGGGCCGTTTACCAAACGGGTACCCGGATAAACGTTTACCAAGTCATATTACCTTAAGAATAAATATGGTAAGGATCAAGAGCCTTACCGGTAAGAGCAAAACAAGGACTAAGGAGCCGTTTACCAAACACTTACAGGTAAGTGCTTACCGGTAATATTTAACACTATAATTTACTTACCGGGTAGGATTTTAATCCACCAAAACGACATCGTATGCAACAATTTACTCGGTAAGCGCTTAACTTGGTAAGAGTCATCGCCCTCACTTACCGGGTAAGACTCTTGGTCCTTGTCTCGCTCTTTCCGGATAAGATTCTCGGTCCTTACCATATTCATCCGGTAAGGTAATGTTACTTGGTAAACGCTTACCCGGGTAAGCGTTTGATAAACAGCCCCTAAGAGTCTTACCCGGTAAGTGAGAACGACGACTCTTACCACAGTAAGCATTTGCCGGGTAAATTGTTGCATACGATGCCATTTTAGTGGACTAAAATCTCACCCGGTAAGTAAATGATAATGTTAAATTTTACCGGTAAGCACTTACCGAATAAGTGTTTGATAAACGGCCCTGGTTTGACAAGAGAACATCTTATAATTCCATGATGCGTTCTTTGAGAGGAGAGATGCATTTACATTGAAGCTCATGACTCTTTATGGTGCCTGCTACTAATATTACTACTGGAATATTTTATTTGCATCCAACCCAAAGTTTGCCTATGCAGATGGAAACCTTGGACTTTTTATGGTGCCTACTAATATTACTCCGAGATTTTATTGAAATCCTAAAGCATAGGATTTTAAAATCCTTTGGGTTGCTTAGTATTTCATGGGATTTCGTACGATTGTATGTCATCATGTTTTAAAAATGTTAAAAACAATTGTTTTGGAATACTCAAATTATGAAAATGTAATTTAATTATTTTTATAATTATTTATATTTTTTTTATAAATATTGGAATCCAATTCCATTCCAAATCCTACAAATCACACACACCAAAGATTCCAAATCCAAATCCCTCTACAAAATCCAAATCCCTCAAAAGTATTCCATCAAAGTAAATGCCCCCTTAAAGTACCCTTACGTAGTGTTGGGTTGGTCGGAATCTGACGGAATTTGAAGAAATTGGAATAGTCAATTCCATTGACCAAATCCATTTATGCGTTTGGTTCATTCTTTTAGTTTTGGTCAGGAATTCGAATTCTAAATATGGAAAAACGTAAATTCCTTAGGTTCTAGAAAGGAATTCCAATTCCTTCATCCCATTTTAGAAAACATATTATGCTCTTATATAACTCCATTATATTCCATCTCACCACGAGGGTTGTCAACACTGTTGTTACCATTGATGCCTTCACCCCCACCCCCACCATCTCCTTCACCCACCTTCGTTGTAACCCACACCACTGCTATCACCAACGTCACCACAATCATTACCACAACCACTGCTACCGTTACACCATCACCACTACCATCTCCCATCCACCACCATTATTATGTTCAACAAACCAAACAAACATATTCAAATTGTTTTGAGAAATTCCATTCCAGTTCCTGCCAACCTAACGCATGGTCACACCTGATTAAATTTCATTCCAATTCCTTCAAACCCTAATTACTTTGATAGATCCCATTATGTGAACCAAATACCCCCTTACAAGAACGAAAGTCAATATAAGATTAACATTGGTTTAAGCAAGTTTTTAAGTAGATGATGACGATGACTTAAATGAAAATTAGGAATGTGTAGAATTTAAGGTGTTGTTTGGTTCATGGAATCCATTGGATTTCAAAAGAATTGGAATTACCAATTCCTTTCACCAAATTCTAGTTCATATATTTGGTTCACATCTTGAAATGAATGGAATTGTTAAATTCCTTTGAATCCGTGGTTGAGGGATTTGATCATTCCTTCGCATAAGTCAAGGAATTGATTTCCATWTATTGGAAAATGTAAAGGATTCAATTCGTATCCAATTTAACCAACACCACCACCCTCCCGCCACAGCCACCGCCACCCGTTGCCACCACTTCTGGCGGTGTTGACACAAGATTTATTAGAAAGGAAAGTTGGAGGTCTTGAAAACCAACTTGGAAATGGAAGTTCTTTTTAATTAAGTTGGAATAAAACAGAGTACATGAACGTCATATAAAGCAAAATAAAAACAGACGAAAGGTTATGGTAATTTAGGCATGTATGTAGGAGGCATATGGCACCCTAAGGAGGGTAATGAGTATGACAGTAGAAGGGGTGAGAAGGAGGTGCAAGCTAAGAAGGATGTGGGATGAGCAGTAGAGAAGATGTTTTTGAGAACATGACCTCCGATAGGAGCTCTTGGAGAAGTAGGAGAAGGGTAACAGACGACAGGTAAGGAGGGCAAGTTGTAGGGAATTGAATAAAATACATGAACGTGGGAGGTAAAATAAAAAACAAGTAGAAGGTTGTGGTGGTTTAGGCGTGTACGTAGGAGATAGATTATGGCACCTGTGAGAAGGGTAAAGAGTTTGACGGCCGAGGGGGTGAGAAAAAGGTGTAGGCTAAGAAGGACATGGAATGATAGTTGAGGATGAACATGAGCCTTAGATATTTGAGAGGATATGAACTTCTAAAGGTAGGGATTTGTAGGTGGGGCGAGGGGAGAGTAGTTGAGAGTAGTTAGAGGGTGAGATGGGGACTAGGGTGCCGAGGTGGCAGTTAGGTTGTCAGGGTCTTATGGCGGTTGGAGGGTTGTTTTACTTTTCTTACCTTACATGTATGCTATTGTTTCTAATCTATGCGTGTGACCTATTTGTTGTACATTAGTCCCCAATTTTCGTCATGTAAATTGTAGTTATCAATACTGTTTTTGTGCTCCCTCTCCCCCTTTTTGTTTGTGTAACCTATTTCCCTTTCGTCTACCGTGTTACATTGTCTAGCTTCTTGTACACACGCTCACACATATGTCTCACTTTCTTGGTATATCTATTTGTTCTGCAAGCCAGGAGTATGTTTCACGAAAATAACCGCTCTACTCCTTAGGATAGAGGTAAGGTTTGTGTACAACTTACCCTCCCTAGACCGTACATACCTCTTCGTGGGATTTACTATGTCATTCGGTTTGGTTTTAGAATAGAGTTACAAGAATGAACTTGTACCTTGTAGCAGTGTGGTTGGGATGTGAAAGAAGCAGATAAGCATATTAGCCCAAGYAGTGGTTGGGAAAGACATGTAGTGTTGTTTGGTTTGAAAGATGGAGAGGTTGACAATTAAGGATATTCATCATATATAGGATATAAGAGCAAAGTGAATAAGTATCATTAAAAAGATGTATTGAGGACAACTCTCCATATCATAGGAAGGGGCATATTATTATTACTATTAAAGCCCAAACTACTAAAAACCAATTAAATAATAGGATAATATATATCGAGAGGCGTGCCGGCAAAGGTCCGATTCCAGGGGAGGACAGGTTGTCTTTTCCGGTGCTTGCTTATGAGGTATGGCAAGTAGGGCTCACAAAATGTGGACCACGGGGCCATGAGGTCCTCGCCATTAAACCTTTTTTTAATATATATCGAGAGGAGCTACTCTTAGATACTGAGTACATAGATTATACTGATGTAATTTTGACTAAAAGTCCAAATGATTAGGAGTAGCAACCCCGGTAGGCAGTAATCACCAACCCCATAGGCTTACACCATCAACCAAAAACCTAACTGCTAGAATTCTATGCTACTAATAACTAATTAGGCCTTTCAATTTCATTCCCTATCAACAACACAACACTATGTTAATCCATCAGTAGCACAACAGTATGTTATCCTATTTTCCATGCCTGTGACAATTAGTTAACCAAAGAATCACAAAGTTAATAGAACTGTAAATAGACATGACCAGATAGGCACTTATTCAAAAAATAATCGAGACAGAGATGTACCTGTTCAAATTGGTTATTTTAAGGAGGGAAAAGGCGTAAGGGAACAACACCCAGATTGGTCAGGGTTGGCTTCGACAAACGGATGATGGTCAAACATGGTGATTCGGGTGATAGTTGGGGAGTACCGGCAGAGGAAGTGAGCGACAGAGGAGCGGGTACCAATGATGCAGACATGAGCGGTGGTTTGAGGAAGAAGATGAAGAGCGATGGTGGTGCAATGCAATCCCCCCGTCGACAATGGAGGATCCGCAGGGGTTTAATTGGTTCAATTCCCAGCAATTACATTTTATTTCTTCTTTTATATGTTTAAATAATTCATCCTACTCGTTTTTTTGCAAAATTTCCATCTTGGATTTAGATAATTATAAGATAAATTTGGATTTTAATGTTCAATTTGTTTGTCTCAATCAATGTTATAATACAATTTTATGTGATTTTAAGAAAACGGTAATGTTTTATTTTTAAATAAAAATATAAATATAAAAATATATATTATAAAAAATACAAAAATATTTATATTAGTTCCAAACTAAGTATTTAAAATTTTCTCCTTTTTTGTGTATTTCTTTAATTCATTTTTTTTTAATTTTTGGTTTAATAATATAACTTTAAAATCATTTAAAAGAAAATTGAACCTGTTGTGGACTTCTATAAGGGATTTGTTCTTGTGACACATAACAGTTCATACTGTCTAATTAGACTGATCTTTTGCTCTGTTTTATTTCATAATTTCCATCATACAAAACCATAAGGATGTTCCACATATCTCTTGCAGTGGTAATTTCATGATAGAGTGATAACCATCATCTGAAAGTGACCTCACGTCATGGCCAAAGTTGCATGAATCACATGTGATTTTAGTGTAACATCATATCACATGTAATTCAACCGTTTTCTTATTCTTTTATTTGGTTGATTGTTCTCGTACGAACCTGCTATGAATTTCTATATATGTGTGGGTGTTCCTATTTATGTTATGTTGCAACTCCTTCAACATAGAGAAGGCTACAAATATTGGATAAATTATCATCTTTAAGCGATAAACATAATAATGAGTTGGGTAAAGAAATTGTAAAGGGCTTCGTATCTCTTGGTATAGCCTCCACAATGGCAGAGAGGTTTGTGAGTCTATGCCAGTGTCGTTAGCCTTGAAAATTTATGGAAAATCCATATCCCTCATCTTGATTGGAAATTCAACGAGATTACAACCATCTAATAATAACGTTTTGACCTTCTTTAACTTAACCATAGTCCTCGGAAGCTTTTTAAGCATCTTGCAATAACTCGATCATTAAGAACAAGTTCGCCTCTAGTTTGGTAACGCCACCAAGACTACGAAGATGTTTATAGCAAAACATAGATTAAGAATCTTCAATTATCTAAGCAAACCTTGTGTTTTGAGCATGATCCAGTTGATTATTGAAAGGAGGCATGGTTAAATAATTAGTGAATTGCATTAATCCAACTTGGAAGTTTAAAAAAAAATTGTTCTTCAAATGTCTTGCCTTTTGCTTCTTACCAGATCGTTGCGGGTTAGTATACGACATGTCAAAGAGTCGAAATTACTATAAGACATGTTAAGAGCAATTGGATTCTCCAATGGTAAGTCTGAAGGCAGCGGCGGATCCAAGGTTTTTGTTCAGTGGGGTCACCTATAAGGTAGACTAAAGGCTCACAAAATCGTCCGATGTGTTTTAATCTAATTACAACATTTTGAGGGATTTTTAAAGTTTTTTGGTTGATTTCGAGGGATTTTTTAGTGTTTTTGTCGATTTCGAATAACATTTTTGGTTTTTTTGATTGATTTCAATAGATGTTTTTGGTTAGAGTAACGGTTTCGATTGATGTTGGGGGCCCGTGAAAAAATCTAATAGGGGGAAGTGAAAGGTTAATCATGTAAAACCTAAATTTTAACCTAAGGATTTTTTTTGAGTTTTTGACTCCCCCAGTCCCCCTTTTTGATATTGCATCCGCCCCGTCTGAAGGTATAGACTTTAAAGGGAACCCATGTACACAAAACCATCTTAATTTTTGAGGAAAATTCTTATAAGATCCATTGAGTTGCAAATAATTAAGTTGTAGTAGCATAAGATTTGTTAGGATTGGAGATTGAAGATGATACGTGGAGAGGATACACAATTGAATTGTGGAAGGTACACTTTTCAAATACAATAGTTCGACCCTTATTGTCTTGGGTTACACGAATTTCTTATTGGGACAATCCAATTGAAAACTTTGACCCTAAAGGCTGTAAGATCAAGGCCATATATACACCCAGATTCTCGTTTACATATTTATATGAGAGATCGACGATTATGGGTGGTTCAAAAGTAACTGAACGACAATTTTATAATCGTTAACAAATAAGATTTAGGAGCAACTGCAACTGTCCCAGAGTCAGAAGCAAGGTTATAGGATTACAGAGCTTTGGTCCTTAAGATTAGAGGCTCTGATCATACGGATCAAAGGCACTCAAGGTCCAGAGACTAAAAGATTAGAGGCTCTAATCCTCAACACATATAATACTTCAACAAAGAATCAAAGCTCTGAGCATAAGGCTCAGAGGCTCTAATTACACCGTCTCTGATCAACACTTAGTTTGGGAACAATTTCATGAAAGTTTTTAACCTTTCGAAATTTGTTTAGATAATCCCAAAACTAAAATTCTTTAAGCTCGACTCTCTTAAAATCCGTAAACCAAGGGCTTTAGTTCCTAAATTAAGTTACTCTTCCTAAAGTTCAAACATGAAATAATAAAATATGAATATATTTAAGAATATGAATTATTATGTGATATATATAAAAGTCATGTCTGGTGTGCATCTACCAAATGCGATGCATAAATAAATAAACTTCAAACTTCCGATATTAAGATTTTCAACAAAATTCTCTTGGAGACTTTTGACACAACAAAAGGGGGGTATCTTGAGCTTGAAAGAGGTGACGGTGCTTACATATCCCCTGCAGACATCAAGACAGTCAAATTATGAACRAGGTTTAGTAGCGTAAATGTACTCTGTTTTGTAAGCATTTAAACCTTGAATATGGAACCAGCAGACCTCTCTTTGCAATTTTTTTAAACTTGGATATTGCATCCGCCTGTAAGAACTACACATAAAGGATTGAATAATCCTGCAAAAAATATGTGCCTACAGAAAATCAAACATAAGACATTTCATACCAGACATATAGAACCATATCACACTTACTTTACAAGATCCTGAGACCAAAAAGTTTGATAAAAAGATGATACTGAGTGGGTGGTGCGACGAAGGAGAATAGAAGACAAGGTGAGAAGCGTAGAAAATGATCTGGACCCTTGATCACTTTTAGTGTCACCCCAACCCCATGAATTCTGCTTCTTGCAGGAATTGATTTAGTGCATCTCTTTGATCTTCAATTACGATTGATCCAAGGGTGGAGATTCCTTCTTCCCCTTCTCACTATAACTTTCATTCTCACCAGGGACCCAACCCTGGGTGGTGTATGGTTTTTATTTTATGTATGTTGATGAGAGAATATAATTGAAGGGGTTCTGGAAATAGAAAAAAAAAGTACCTTAATTAGGTTAGATGCATCACCCCACCAACTATGTTGACTTGCTTTGAGAGAAAGCTCTAAACAGAGGACGCTTTTCTGATGRAAAAAAGGAAGAYAAAAAGAAGTAATTAATGCATGAGTTATTATTAATTTACAACCACTTCCACCAAGTAATAGCTTAGCTGTTGTTGCAGGAAGAAACTTGTTTTAACAACTTAATGATGTTGCCTCTGCTTGTGGAAAATCTCCAAGTATTGGGATTGTGTTGGTATCCACTATGAGAAACATGATAACAGATATTTAACATATATTTATATGCCACATACCTACATAATTGTTGATGTAGTTTGAACCAAAAATGTGCCACCTGTTTAGGTCATATACTCCGGGGGTAGTAGTTTGAAAAGGAGAGAGATCCCCACCAATAATATGATTCCATGACTTGTAATAAACCAACACGTCTTCTTCTTCTTCCATTTTCTTCTTCCCATCATCATACACAAGACTAATCCCGCACTCCAAAACATCCAATTCCTTATATATATATTCATCGGCTTGCCTTGCTGTCACCGTGGCAGTAACTTCATCACCATCTTCCATCTCACTCTTCCCAAACATCCAATGGCTTAAATATACAATTATACCCTCTCCAGTGGACTCAAAGAACCCAAAACAACTGTATATCCATGTGCGGTTCTTTGTTATGTTACTAATTCTGATTTTACCGACTACATGAASAAACCCCTTTATAGCCGTAAACACAATGCAGAAATTCAATCCTTTAAGGTTGTKAGGAGATGATGGGATGGTAAATGATATTGATGACCCCTCCCTTCTATCACTTATCCAATCTGGCATCTCTTTCCCCTCATACCTTGTGCTAAATATCCCAAATTCATATTGCATCTGCCAAGTACAAGATTAATCATCATCAATTGTTCTATGTACACAKTAATCACACAAASAAGAATAGTTGATGTGAGCAAACCTSGACTTTGGRTTCTGTCAGCTSATTTTTGGTGAAGTCTAAATTAGTCCACCCCAGACTATGTAATACCTCTTCCTCGACATCTGCCATATCTTCCACTTTAAACATGCCTTCAATTAAAGACCTGCAACCTGTCCACGTACTTAACATGATTGGGGACATTTCTCGATCAAATACAACTTTGCTCAAATAGCTGACACCCATTATCAAGTGTCTTAGTGTAAGTGGAGGATGCTCCAATATGGTCAATCTCTTACAATGGTCAATACTAAGTTTCTCAAGTCTGGGAAGGCCTCTCACACAATTAGGCATTGAAACAATATTATTTCCATCTAAATATAGCTCCTTCAGCATGGATAGGTTACTGAAGTCCATTGGAAAGGATTCGTTGGACAAACCATTATTTTTAAGTGACAAGCATTCTAATGACCTCAACAAAAAGATCAAAGAGGATCCCAAATCTCTGGGTATAATCTCCACAATGGTAGAGGAAGAGGTTTGAGAGTTTATGGCAAGGTTGTTAGCCATGACCATTTCTGGTAATTCCGTATCCCTCATCTTGATCGGATTTTCACTAAGATTACAACCATCTAGTTTTAGTATTTTCAMCTTCTTTAGCATGCCTATAGTTCTTAAAATCTTTCCAACCTCATTGCAATAACTCAGATCAATGAGCTCAAGGTGATCACATTGCCAAATTGATTCACAAACCTCAATCAAACCTATGCAATTTGAAAGTAATAACTTCTCAAGTGCAGGGAGTTCGATAAAGCCACAGAGACTATGAAGCTGTTTACAGAAACTTAGATTAAGAATCTTCAATGATCTAAGCAACCGTTTGTTGTCTTTTGAGCACGAGCCAGTTAGCTGTTAAAATAGARATAAGGTAAAATAMYTAGTRAATTGTWTTAACCCAACATAGAAGAATAATATAAATTAAAGCAGATGCTTACCTTTTGCGACTTCCCAGGTCGTTGCGAGTTGCCATACGACATGTCCAGAGATTTGAAGCTGCTATAAGACATGTCAAGGGCAACTAGATTCTCCAATTGCAAGTTTGGAGGTATATACTCTAAAGGGAACCCATGCATACACAACCATCTTAATTTTTTAGGGAAGTTCTCATAAGATCCACCGAGTCGCACATAATTGAGTTGTAGTAGCATTAAGTTATCCATCTTTCTCAATGCATCTGTTTTCAACTCAACCGAGTCATACATGTTCTCTTTCTCAAGCATTTCCATGTCTAGAACAAGGCCTTTAAGCTTTCTTGTACCCTAAGAAGTAACAGAAATGTCAAATTACTTATTAACCTTATGTTAGTGTAAACAAATATTGTGTGTTACTTAAAMATTTGCACAATTATGACAAGTATAAATGGCCTCTTACTCTGTTTTGTTCCAATACATTGAATGACTCTTCATGACACCACAATCGACTACGCTTCTCTGGCATGTCAGGTGATTCTTGGCGTACTATATCTCTTCCCATCTCTTGAACCAATTGATGCATCATCAACTTGTTATTACTATCAATCGAAAGMAGGCATCTATCAACGAGATTCTTGATCCCAAGTACTGTGCGGATCTTACATGCCTTCAATATTGTTTCAGTTGATTCTCTATCTTTCCCAGCAAAAAAACAAGCAATGTGCTTAAACAATTCCTTGTCATCTGTAGATGGTAAAGAGTCGAAGCTCATTTGCAAGACCTTCTTAATACGAGAATCAGGTTCTTCCTTTAGCCTTTCTAGGCAATCCTCCCATTCAGCTATATTTCCATTACGTAGAGACCTGCCCAAAACTGAAAGAGCCAACGGATGTCCTTTACAATATTTCATAAGCTCTTTTGAAACCTCTTTGTAACCTTCCTTCGGACTGCTGCACTTGAAGGCATGAAGACATAAAAGCTCCAGTGACCGAGTCTTATGTAAGGCTTCGAGTAAGTGCTTTGTATGCTTGGGTTGAACTTTAAGGTTGAATAGCTCACACTTTTCTGTCAACGACGCGTCCTTGGTCGTTATTATGATTTTGCATCCCAGATGAAAACCTTTGTTTCCAAGTAATGCATCCAATTGACTGAAACTATCAACATCATCAAGAACTAGGAACACCTTTTTATTTGCTAGTGTATTCTCAATTTGAGAGGTGTATATAGAAACATCATGGACTTGAATTGAACTTTTATTTGAAACGTCACCACAAATTTGTTTTTGTAAATCAAGCAATCCAGTCAATTTTTCAGCACATCTCCTACTGATATCTTCTACAAAGCTGCTTCTTTGGAATTCACGACAATGCAAGCAAAAAATATATTTGGCCAAAGATGTCTTCCCAATCCCACCCATGCCTATAATTGTGAGAATTTCAGCACAAGTACAGGATCCATCTTTCAACCAATAAGTAATGAATTTGATGTGGCGGTCCATGCCGATAAGAAATGGTAGAGTTACTTTTAAAGGTACACCTAACCTACGATGAATTTCAGTAACAATTTCTTGAATGAACTCCGTCTCTTTCCTGAAATTTGAAACATCAATGTGAAAACCAAACATATCAGATTCATCACATTTTGCTACTATATTTCAATTATGTTTTTTTTTTTTTGCCAATTTATGTGATGTTAGAAAGTTGTACACTCTCTTTTGGTCATTAATGAAAATATCGAGTTTCTCTCTCATACTTCTAATATTTATTACTTGAAGTAGATGTAGTTTAGTAGCGACTAAAATACCCATTTATATATATATATACAGTTATACACACACACAAGTATGTTATTTTGCTACCTACAGTATCTTACCAAGCTTTCTTAGAACAAGAAGCACATTTTCTTATTGATTTACTTTGATGATAAAATTCTTCCTACATGTGTGTGTGTGTGGGTGTTTCATAGGTGCAAAGAAAATTGAAAAAACGAAAATGATTATATAAATCTTGAGAGAGGGAGCAATAATTAACACATAGATGGTAATTAATTAATTAAGAAATATGAGGAAATAATCATTTCAATATTAAATCTCCTTATTATATATGTATCCTAAGGGCACATAATAGAAAAACCTTTCAAACATATTGAAAATAGACAAGAGATGTAT